ATGATATAAACATGATATTTTTTATTTTTGTATGTTGTTCTGTTTGAAGTTAGATCATTTTTAATTGTGTTTAGATGGTTGTCAATGTAACACAAATGTTGATGGAGATTATAATTGTACTGACCTTTTTTATTTTGATAAGTTAATTTTGTATTTACAACAGGCATCATATGGTATGAATCATAAGTATATTGACTTGTTTTCACCTAGACATGTTTTATTAATATGATAGTTTATTATATAGATTGGAAACATTAAGATATATTATTATTAATTATAAACAGATTGTTTTCACTCACAGAGACTACAAACAGGTTTTGCAGTCAAAAGACAAAGTATTAGTTACTGTTACTTGTACTTTTTGTTGTGTTATACGTATTAGGCCAAGTAATATATTTTAATATACTTAAGTTTGAGAACCGTGTAAATGCTGATTTAACATGAAGTCGTACTGGAATCTAAACCGTTATTAACTTAAATAACGTGTTGGCTCAAGAAAACAATTTTTCTTTAAAATCTTTTTTAGTAAAAGGAATGTAGAGTGAACATTTATGTAAAATCTTCAAAAGTCTGACACTAAATTAACAAAATATTATTTACTGTTTACTAAATTAATTGTACTTTTCTTAAAGGTTATGAAGATTGTTCAGTTGAAATTAATAATTTATTATTATTTAATCAAGTGGTTGGTTCTGAATTGAATTTATGTTGGAAATCAAACTTGAACATTTATAGATATGCAAGCCACTTTTTGTTCACGGATATATTTATGACACCAGCTAAATCATTAATCTGTATTATACTGTACGTTTCCCTATGTAATATACTAAAATTTACTTAGACCATTAAGAACTGTTTCAAGCAAATGAAATTAGATCATTAGAAAAATTAAGTCTAATTGCTTTTAAATGATGAATAGAACAAAACTGTGTTAATTGTTTATGTGAAATGTATACTTTAAGATGTCATTCATTTAGCATTTCTGTTAGGTAATTAAAGAGTGTAATTATTTAAGAACTATATATAATAGCCCTTAAATGTAATCAAGGTGTGGTGAAATGTTATCAAGATTACCTGATAGCAGTTATCACTAAGAGAAATCACAGACTTTGTTTGGTAGCTATAATAGATGTTTTTCTATTTAATAAGCTATCTGTCTTTTTTTTTATTACTAAGTTTGTAACCAGCATTGTTGTCTTCACGTATAGGATGGGATTATTTTGGGAGCTGATACAAGAGCAACTGAGGATACCATTGTTTCGGACAAGAACTGTTCCAAGATCCATTACCTAGCACCTAACATGTAGTAAGTGTTTTTCAGATGAAACATATCTCATTAGATACTTGTTTATGTGCACTTGCTTGCTTCAGAGGGAACCATGGTATAAACCTGCCACAAGTTGCAGTACATATTAGTATTATCATTATTGTTATTCTTGCTTGCTTCAGAGGCAACCATGGTATAAACCTGCCACAAGTTGCAGTACACGTTAGTATTATCATTATTGTCAAATCATGCTTGCTTCAGAGGGAACCATGGTATAAACCTGTCACAAGTTGCAGTATACGTTAGTATTATCATTATTGTCAAATCATGCTTGCTTCAGAGGGAACCATGGTATAAACCTGTCACAAGTTGCAGTATACGTTAGTATTATCATTATTGTCAAATCTTCATGTTGGGAAGAAATGCTGAATATAATCTGCTTTTTAAAATATCACATGGAGAATAAAAACAATTTGGTAGAAATGTTTCAAATATTTTGTGTACACAGCCTTTTCATTGGTTGATAAATGTAATACGAATGTGGGTAGACATGCAATTAAAATACTTGTCAGTTATCGGTTTCTTTTCTGGAGTTGTGTAGTGGATCTTCACGATTAAAAAATCTGACACTAAGCCAAAGTATAGTGGATACCACAGCCATTAGGTTTGATGGTCATTACAGTTGTATACTTCCTCAGAGGGTTTTATGCACTAAGTAACAGTGGAAGGTATCCCTATTTATTTATTTTTTTTTCCCTGGTAAATACTTTAATGTCAGCTTACAAAGGTTTTTTATGGCCAAGTTCTTTCTTAGTTTTCAAGTAGGTATTTAAGTAAGAGTAAGTTTATTTCTTGCAGTTTTTGTAAACTCAAAATAAGAATATACATTTAAATTATGTACACTTCCCTTCCTGAACAACACGATTTTGTGATATTTCAGTTGTTGTGGTGCTGGTACAGCTGCTGACACAGAAATGACAACAAAACTAATTAGTTCACAGCTGGAATTACATCGACTTAACACTGGACGTGTTGTCCCTGTATGTACTAATTACTGCTGATACTACCTACGTATTTAACACAGCACAATTGAACAATTAATCACAATAATTACTGCTGATACTACCCATGTATTTAACACAGCACAATGAAACAATTAATCATACTAATTACTACTGATACTACCCATGTATTTAACACAGCACAATGAAACAATTAATCATACTAATTACTACTGATACTACCTATGTATTTAACACAGCACAATGTACCATATCACAATTTTTTGGTTAGTTTTTCTACATTGAGTGTTGTAACAAACAAAAAACATAACATTACTCAATATGATGTAAACCCTGCTAAAAGTGAACAGTATGAAAAATATACCTCCATGTTTTCTTTCCAGCCTCTTTCAAAGACAGCCATAGCAGCTAGAGATCCTGAACCCATGGTAACATAAGGCAGTTTGTCTGTTGACCCATGAGGGTAAATACAATAGAGACTGGATCCTTTGGTATCAACTCCTCCAAGAACAAGGGCTGCTCCAATGTAACCTTGGTATCTATGACAAAATGTACGAATAAAAATAGTTTCAAAGCTGTGAAGACATTTTTTTTTAAAATACCTAATTAAAATTGTTTACTATTTAAATCAACTTGTAAAAAAATGAAAATTTTGAAAATCATAATTAATGCTTTAAAATATATTAATAACTGGTCTTGTAGAGAAAAGAATTACAAATATTAATTCATTTCATTAAAAAAAAAGACAAGAAAACTCAGTTAAAAAGATTTAAGAACATGTTATTTTTAACAAAAATTACCTATTTTTATTACGTACCTAAACAACATCTGTTTAAGAAGCCGATTTGCAGTAAGATTAATTGTTGTTTCATTGTGCTGTGTTAAATACATAGGTAGTATCAGCAGTAATTTGTATGAGTAATTGTAATATTGACAATATTTTTGTTTTACACTTTTCTGTGTCCCGTGTGTTATTGGGGGGAGCCTGTAAACAACAAAGTCGTGGATCCACAAATAATTTGGTGCATAAATAGTTTGTAAAGATGTTTAAAATCTGATGATGGAATGTGAAGTTTTGGCTTTAAAATCAATCATGAGAAAATACATACTTTATAGTCGCTGTTGTCTGTTATAGTTAGCATCTGAAATGTATTCTTACTGTTTCACAGCTAGAAGAAGGCAAAGTCTTAGTGAGGGATGCTATTGCAGCTGGCATATTAAATGACCTTGGATCTGGAAGTAATGTGGACCTGTGTGTGATCACCAAAGATGGAGCTCAACACATACGCCCCCTTGAAAATATTGGCATTAGAGGAGAAAAGTGAGCACTTTGTAGTATTTTTAATACATCTGATTTATGACAGTATCTTAGTAGTCATAACTGTGAAAAGGAAACTGAATTGCATATACTCAAACATTATGACTTAACATGAGAGTTTGTTATGTTGTATAGTAATGACAGAATAAGGCGGAAAGTTCAGATTATTTAATTATTATGGGGAACAGATTTCTTAATTTTAATACTGAAGTTATGGTAATATTTTGTGGTTTAATTTTTTTGTAGGCTTTACGATGACTGACCCGATGAGCTTCGAAAAGTGTTTTGTTAACTTCATGTGTTTGTTACTAACAATACACTATTCTTTCCATTACAGACAAGGGTCTTATCGCTACAAAAAAGGCACTACAGCAGTGCTTAAAGCCAATATTATCCCTCTAGATGTCACAGATACATTAATCAAACCTGTAGAAGCGGAACCCATGGACACCTCTGGTTGATGTCAAAATTTTGGCTACATTGATTGAATTATTCTTAACATTTGTTTTCCCTGTTTTTTTTAAATGATCAGTTGTAGTATTGGGAGGGTTGGATGTTTTCATGTCTTTTATTGACACTAGAAAATGTAACTTCTTTCAAAATCAATAAAGAATATCACCATAATAAAAATATCCCTTATCACCTGAATAAACTGTATATTAACAGTTGGCTAGCTTGTAGAAAATAATTTTTAGCTTTCAAATTGCATACAGGTTGAAACAGAAGTAACTTGCCCAAGTTCTTGAGAAATAATCTTTATTTTAAAATGTTTTACTTTGAAAAGTAACCACTGCAAATTTAAATCATTATAAAAGGGTGTGTTAATCAGTGACAGGAAAATTAGATTAAGTATTAAAAGTAAACTTGATAAATCGGATAAACAGAGTAACATTTAATGAAAGTACAACGTTTTAACAGGTTAACCTGGTGAAACATGGTACTTTCATTAAATCTTACCCTGTTTGACCGATTTATCAAGTTTACTTTTAATTCCACCAGAGTACTTCCTTTCATCAGATTAAGCATTAATATTTCAATATTATATTCTAATGCTGAATAAAATCTTTGGGGCAAGTTACTTTTGCTTCATCCTAAACAGTGTTATGCGAGTTAAAATTAGCAGTTATAATGTAACTTTTAAAATTGTTTGGAACAGATTTTATAATTTAAAGTACAGATGATGTCACATTTGGTGTAATTATTGAGCATTTTTGTAAAAAAATAATTTTGAGATGTCAATATGATTCTACAATGAAGTTCAAACTTTTTTTTTAGCACTTTTTTTTATATATATACTGCTTACACTAATTTTATTTATGGGGTAGAAAGTTTTTAAACGAATTTCAAGTAGACATTTGCTTCTTCCTAATCCTTGATTATAACATAAAATAAGTACCGGTTAACAACTTATAGGCGAGAGTAAGAATATGATTTAAACATTTTATAATAAAAGTTTCTAAACCTCAAGCTACTGACAAGTTTTTATAATATTCACTACTGGGAGGATCCACGTCACCAACTGGTAAGTGGAGGTGACATATGGTATCAGATCTGCCCCCCTACCCTCAATGTCACTCTCTGGGAGGTCCAATGATTAGGGTGCTCGACTTGCAATCTTTGGGTTGCTGGTTCAAATTCCCTTCCCATCAGACATAACTTGCCCCCTTTCAGCTGTCTGGGCATTATAATGTGATGGTCAATCCCACTATTCATTGGTAAAAGAGTTTGCGGTGGGTGGTGATGACTAGCTGCCTTCCCTTTAGTCTTACACTGCTAAATTACGGACAGACAGTGCAGATAGCTCTCGTATAGCTTTGCGTAAATTTCAAACAAACAAGCAATTGTATAAGAAATGCGAATTTATCATTGCTATTGTTTCTACCGGAAACTATTAGGTGGCTATTAGAAGAGATGCTAAAATAATGCATAATACGTGTATACATCACACGTGGAAGATAACGAGCTGAATGTTTTTTTTCAAATCACTAGATGGCGGTGCTGTAGCCACAATGAAAAATTTTACCAGTTTTGTTTGTGTAGTATTATTGAAGTAGTTTAAAGCAAAATATATATACAGTTTGATGTTGTTACTCCATAGTATCGCTTTCAGTTTTTTCCTTCAACTCTATTATTTTTTATTTTATAAAAAAACTAACACTGCTTATATAATAACGGCATAATTTAATAATTTTACGTTTTTTCAAAGTTACCGTGGAATTGTATTAGCTTCATTAAAAAATGAAGTTTTGTTTTCAAAGCATAGAGGGCGTGATGGTTTTATATTTTTAGTTACCACGTGTGTATGTGTGTAAAAATGTTTGAAATCATGTGATTTAAGAAGAACATGATTAAATGTGAAAAAAAACGAGATGCAGACAATTATGAAACCACCATAACTGTTTGTTAATTTGTTCAAAATACACAGCAAGTAGAAACATGCGTTGCATTTGAAAAACCTTCCAAAAAAAGTATATTTTTATATTTCAGTAAATGTGTATTACATTCAACAGATGTTACTAAAATGTGACTCCACTTACAAGTACTTATATTAAAGTTTCTTCATTACCCATTCAAGCCGTCTCCAACCATTAGTAGTCTCAAAGTGGGTTCCTCGTCATCGAATTATTCACATATCTAAATTAGTTTATAATTACTTATTATGAAGTACTTTATAATATTACGACAATTAAATTTAAATGTACCTCGTGTAGAGAAGTGTGGGGAGTATTTCCCCGAAAGGGGTTGAAGGTCGCTTTGTCAGTCAGTCAGTAGACACTAAAATGACGTCATATAAGGGATACTGGACGTTGCAATTTGTACTATCGTGACGTCAGTAAAACGTGCGTATGTTATGAATTACGAGAAGAATTATGCACTCTGTAGGCTACAACACTGGATGATATATGAACTTCAAACGCAAGAAATAAAAATACTTGTTACTCTTAATTTTGGTTTTATTTACTCTTCAAACCGAATACTTATGGAAACAATGCGGAAGGTCCAGTTAATATAATACTATCGTAATAGGTTTTACTTAGTTATATTATTATTTCGGAACTTTGAATGTATTTCAACTATCCGAAGCCAGAATCAACTATGTGACTGTCAAAATATCGTACACACAAAGTTATTACTTTTATTTTCATTTGTAATAAACACAAAAACTAATAAAAATAATTTGTATACCAAGGCTAGGAATGTGACTTTGGACTGACGCAGTTAACTGCTTTACATATGCGTTGTTGACTTCAACAGAGCTGACCAAAGACGTACGAATTAAATTTAGCAGTTAAAAACGTTATATACGTGTGTAAAAAGACAAAATTACTTACAACACCGTATAATTGATACTTCCAGATCTTTCAATTTTGTGACTTTTTTTATTTATTTACAAAAATGAAGTTACATAAAATATAATGATAATAAAAGACGAAATTTCATTTTGAAATTGGTTGCATGTTGTTGTGTTTCATTAGTAAAAACGAACAAAAATAATTCTGAGAAGAAAAAAACAACAACGTGGTACTAATAAAATTTAATAAAGATGTATATTTCTAAATTAAATTAAAAGTGTTGACTTCACAGTTCTACATTGTTGGATAGTGTTATATACATAATACTGCACTTTCCTACAATTGTAGTATCCTTTTTTTTGGGGGGGGGGGTTCATATATGGCAAATCCTACAGTTACTAAACACTACGATATATAGGACTAATTATTACTGAAAATATCTGAAGTTAAGAAAGTGTTCCGAAAAATGAATCAATCAATGTTTTTAGAAAAAGTTCAGGAAACTTTGTTTCTTAAGTTTCTCCTACGTGTAAAACAAAATTGATCAACGCGATTCTTGGATGCTCTCAACGAATCTTTCCCAGGATCCATGAAAGCTCATTTAATTTTCCATCAATGGGTACTAAAAAACCGTCCAAGACTTGCGAATAAGGAGGAAATTAAAAACTTTGAGGCTAAAAGAACTTTTCAATCCAGCGATCTTTACATTGGTTTTCCTATTGATAAAATTAAATAGTTTTCATTAGATATTTTAAGAATTATGGTTAATTAATACTTTGTATTAGTAAATACAAATGTTTCTGTGATAATGTTACCCATGAATGTTATCGGAATTGTTTCATAATTAACGAATTTTAAATATATACTTATTTATTTGGCAACGTAATTATACAATTTGGCTGGCATGTCTTTCAGTGAAGTCAAGGGACATCTAGTGGTGACATCTAGAAAATTCACATTTTTACGTTTTTGTTACCACAATTTGAAAGCCAAATTCATTCACTTTTGCAGTAAATTCAGCAGTTTTTATGCTCTCGATTACAGGATTAACGAGTTTACAGAATATTACGCCCTTTCAAAGCTATCAATTTTATAACTTAACTCAGTAATTTCAAAGTTTTTATTCTTACTTCCGTTAATTCAAGAACTATAACATTTCCTTTTGTATTATTAAGTCATAATGTCATTAGGCCTATTGCATGTACGTATACTTACCTTCACTGTATAGTTACATGTTAACATATAAATTATTTAAACTACTTTAACTGTCGTTTTTAACACTACTGCTACGTGTTTGTCTTATAAGTGTTGAAATTTTTCTCCTTCCTTGTTATCGCTTATACATTTTGTCTGTTCTCGAGATTTAATTTTATCCATTATTTCCGGCTGGGTGTAGTGGATAATTAAAGCCGGATTAATACGTTAAGCTACTCTAAACTTATACTGTTAGAGCCATTTAATGGGCTTTTATTGGTCATTAGAAGTTGTTAGGGTGTAATATATAAAGTTTTGCATATAATGGCGTCACGCTTTTCAAGAGACAGGGGATCAGAGATAGAGCATGAAGCAAATAATTAGTTTTTAAGTATTTTGTATCTAAGTCACTTTCTATTCTTTTTTTGTATGTTAGTTTATTTACAATATTGGTTAAATAGTTTAAAATTTAGTTGTTTTCTTATCTTTAGTTTATATTATATATTCTTATTATAAGGCCCAGCATGACCAGGTGGTTAGGCGCTCGACTCCCTATCACATCAAACATGTTCGTCCTTTCAGTGGGGGCCTTATATTGTGATGGTCAATCTCACTATTTGTTGGTAAAAGAGTAGCCCAAGAGTTGGTAATGACTAGCTGCCTTCCCTCTAGTCTTACACTGCTAAATTAGGGACGGCTAGCGCAGATAACCCTCATGTAGCTTTGCGCGAAATTCAAAAACAAACCTTATCATGAGTATTATTTTGCATTGTTAGCTTAATATGGAATTAGGACTAATCTAAATCCCATAAGTTGGTCGAAGCATATGAGATATTATTGGAATTACGGCCGACAATAACGCTAAAAGCGAGGGTACCCAACTAATGAATCAATGTATTATAATCATTATCAGTAAGGACAGTAAATATTCAATTAGTATTACATATATCCAGTACCAGGTTAATTTTCAGTTCTGATCTACAAATGTAGGTAGCTCTATCTGAACTGAAATGAATAACAATCGATTCTTGACTAGCTATGTATCCATTAGAATTCTGTAGCTTTGAGCTTCTGTATTCATTTAATATCGCTCCAGTTTTGCTAATTATGCACTTACGACATCATCAAATATCTGGTTTTGGAGA